ACGCTACTGTACTCAACAGGAGTTGTGGCCCTTCTTTTGAATTCGCATCCATGGTGAATGTTGACACAAGAATGGGCATATTTTTTGCATGTTTTGATACGAATATGTCATCGTTTTCCCTTCCTGCTTTAGAAAATAGGACTATAGTACTCCCCCCTTGAAATGGGCTCTCTTGTGTCTGGGTGTACCTCACACAAATGAAAACTGGACAAAAGCACGAAATGGTTACTCTTAGCATCACTGCGCTTATCATAAACACTATCAAAGCGTTGGCAGTTGGCGGGTACTCTAGTATTGTTTGCTCCTCTCTTTTCTCTACCAAAAATCCATCTTCATTATCTCTCCTCCTTGTCTTTGTATATTACGCACTCGTAAAACGATCCGTCTACGGCACCTATGTGACCTATTTGTGTTTTTTAGGCCGATTAAACTTTTACTAAAACTAAAGCAAACTAATACTTCCTATTCTACACGTTTTTGCCTCGAATATCGTAGACCTTCGGAACTACCATTATTGACCCTCACTACTGCTCTTCAGTGTTAATGTTGTTTGTCGAAATATAACCGTGGCCGTGGTGTCTTTGTTAAAAAGTAGCCGTTATCACGCTAGTTCTTGGCAACAGGTAACATTTTTTTAGAAGAAAAAATATAGCCGTTTTCGCGCTAGCTTTTGGCAACAGGTTACGTTTTGTTCAGAAAAAAAAATTGCCGTTATCGTGCTGGACAATGTAACCGTTATCATGCTGATTAGCCTTAATCCACAAGCCAATAATGTGGGCGGTTGGAGGACACCATTGGTAGTTTCTATGTCTTTTGTTTCCCTCTCTCTTGTTTCTGTCTATCTGTCTAAAATTTTCCCCAGCACTTAATATGGCTGTTATTCTGTCATTGTTTGTTAGAGTAAAGAAAAGCACATCGACACAATGATGGCCATTTAGTGCTGGGAAAGTAAGACAGACAGAAACAACGCAGGGGAAGTAAAGAAGTAGGACCTACCAGTAGCTCCCTCCTACCACCTGCATTCTTTTGTTGTTTATCCCCTTAAATAAACAAACAGACAAAATGAACAAACAAGTCAACAGCGGCAAAGATTTATGTTTCTGCGTGTGCAAGTTAATCCAGCTACCATAGCTTATCAAGACACAGCTGACCAAGCTTAGGAGTTGTTTCTTCAAAGTCCTGAATCGATCAACTGGGGGTCTGTGCGTAGGGGTTGATATAAATAGGAACAGATTGTTTTTCAAGCGTCTTTGTTTCAAACCTCAGCGCGTCTCATATTTTCTTGTTCTGTTTTACGGTATGATTATTCACTGCAGTCGTTTATTTAATTAACGAGGGTTCAACGAAATTGGTGCGTTTGTGTCAAGTGTGAGTTTGGACGACTGTGGTAACGGCAACTGAAAAATTCGTGTTTCATACGTTTGGAATTGAAAACTAGAGTGGTGTTGTTGGGGGGGGGGGTTGTTTTTTTTGTTTGTTTCTCATTCCCTTTTGTTTTGCGTTGTTTTTACACGCCCATTTCTGTCAACTGGCGCTTTTGTATCTGGGTATTCTAGCAAAATGTACAGCATTTTGAGTGTTACAGACAAATGTCACTGAAAACAAACAGATAAAAAGCTGTTTTCTCAAAACTTGTTCTTATTTCTTCTCCCCCCCCCCCCCCCCCCCCCGAAAAAAAATGAACTGCCTTTTAATTCGTTTATGGATTCTAACTAAATTACTCTTCCAAGTATAACGGTGGCATAGCTGAAAGTGGTTACAACAGCTGATTTGTAATTAAATCTTGAGTGGTTTTTTTAGCCTCATGTCTCTCAGAAAGATCACGTGATTTTACAATAACTTTCTCAGCCGGACCGGCCTCTGCGGTGTAGCGGTTAGGTGCCTCGCTTTCACCCTCTGAAGTCCGAGTTCGATTGCCTCATGGGGAGAATTTTTATCAAGTATCTCGGCTGTCTTTCTACTTCATGCTGTGATGCTGTATCCTCTCAGCCCAGAATGGCTTTGATAAGTTGAAGCCTGCCCCCTAAATGAACAAATGTGTGTCGATGAGGGCGTAAAAAAAACTACATTCTTTGGCCGTTTTTTTTAAATTCCAGATTACCATTTCGGTCTGCTAGGTGACAAAGCGCCCAGCCCTACCATTCACATATTATATTCCGTCTCTTCTGATTGCTAATACCCATTATTTTCGAGCTGAGAAAATTGAGAAAGTGGATTGATGGCGGTCCCTCTGTTGTGGTTTAGTCCTTATTTGCTATCAGTCTTCTCTCATCCTTATCTCACCTTAATTTCTTTGTAAGTTACTCCAGTAATGCCTCTCATCGTCAGCATTTATTTGACCTGTTTGTGTTGCAAGTGCTGCAAAATGTAATAAGACTAAACTGAGAAAACTGACGGAGCTAGGAATCAAACTGATTGTATTAAATTTTAAGACCAAGACGCCTTTAGTCATAATTCTTTTTGTTTCCATCTGTGTCTCTCCCTCTGTATACTTTGTTCGTTGCTCACCACTCCAGACTTCACGTATTTGCAACCGTGTTTCCTTGTACTGTTCTCCCAGCTTGAGCGGGTGGTTGGCGAGTGCTCTCCTCCTTTTGTCTGTTTGTTACTAGTGTAACTCCTAATCTTCGGCATTTATATGACCTAATTGTGTTGCAAGTGCCGTAAAACGCTTACTAAAACTAGAACCTGGTTTCATGTATTTACAACTTTGATTCCAATGTGTTGATCATCCAGGTTTTCCATATTTACAATCATGTCTCCTCGTGTTGTTCCCCAGTATTACCGAATGTCCGCGTGTGGCCAGCCCGGAGCGTACCAGCCCGGCCTGATGTACCCGGCCCCAGCTGCTGGCGGAGAGATGACCCCCACAGGCCCCGTGCTCATGGACACCACGGGCGCCGGATACAGCGGCGTGCTGGGATGTCCGCCCGACGTGCACGCTACCCGTGAGTTCACTAGTGCCGCAGGGGGGCGTGTGGGCGGCGGCGGTGGCGGTGAGAGAACGCCGCGTGAAGCCGCCGCCAGGGTAGTGGTTGTAGGGAGCGAGGCCAGTAGTGTTGGCGGAGAGGGTTCGTTTGTTGACGAGGACTGTGAGGGAAAGAGTAATAACAATAACAACGCCTCCTCGACCGCTCAACCAGGTGAGAGTAATGCGAGTCATGCAAACAGATTTGTGAATCATAATAAGAGTCATAAAACGTATAGTGCCTCCAACAATAATGACGAATCTGGGGACACTGTGAATGGTGGGTGTGGGAATCATTCCGAAAACAGTAATGATAATACTAATGTGTCAGGTAGTGGCCCCAAAACAGAGGCATCGACAGACAGTAGGCGAAAGCCGACCAGCGGCAATGGTGTAAGTGAGAATGGCGGTGATGTCGAGGAGGAAGAAGAGGTCGGCGACAGCATGGAGGTAGGCAGTGACGGCGACAGCGGTTGTCCGAGCGAGTGCACTGATCTGTCTCCGCTCAGCGCGCCCGACACGGCCTTCACGAGCGGTGAATTGGCGCCGGAATCCTCCGCAGGCGTCGAAACGTCGCCAGGCGCGGGGAGTGGTGGCGGCGACAGCGTGAAGCCAGCGCCGCGCGGCAAACGCCGCTACTACATGTACGGTAACCACAAGCTGGTGAAACCCATCAAGGAGATCCCGCTGCGCTTCCAGATGCTGCTGGCCGAGACAAGCGCGGCGAAAGCACGCTGCGAGGGTCAGCCCATCTACATGCAACAACCGCCTCAGCACGCGCCGCAGCAGGCGGTCTACGACATGGTGTACTACCCGGCGCCCGCCGCGGCCGCGGCCACCGCCGCTACTGACGGCAGCCAGCAGGCTGTGGGACTCAACGCGAACGCCTCCTGCTTTATCCCGGGCCAAGCCGGGGAGTCGGCCTATCTGCCGCCTGAATGTTATGCCATGTGTCCCGTGTCCGGGTACTCGCCCAGCCCCGCAGTGTCCTCTAACCCCGCTGCTGTACCTAACAACCTGCCTTCTAACCCTGCTAGCCATTCCTCTCTTCAGCCAGCTCCTCTTTTTGTGCCCCCTGCTCCTCCCATGCACCCAGGCTCCACCCCACCCTCGTCCCAAGTCTGCCAAACGTTTATCGTCTACTCTTCCCCTTCGTCTAGTAGCACTGCGATATCTCAGTCCTCTAATTCTGCCACTGCCCAGCAGGTTCGCTCTATAGCCATGCCACCCCCACCTTTCCCTCCCCCTGCCACCCAGCCACCGCCTGTGGTCGATCATTTGCCCACTAAGTCTGCGCCTAGTCTTTCTCCAGCTGTCAACCAGGTTGTGATGAGCGTGTCCGGGAACCTCTCACAAAGCAAGCCCACTGAGACGGCCATAAAATCGGCGTCCAGCACGGGCAAGGCGCCCACTGTTCTCACGATCCCGCCTCCTAATCACATGCAAGCCCCGCCCCCTCACCTCAATTCTACTCTTGCCCACATTCCTCCCAGCTCCCTGCCCCCTCCTCAAAACCCAAACGTACACATAAACAACACCACTGTCCTGACTGTTCCTCAGGTTGTCAATCATATTGCTGCTGCCCCTCCCAACTCTGCGTCAGTGTCACACGCCCCGCCCCCAACTATTCATGTTTCTTCCACCAGTTCCCCCAACACGTATTGCCCCAATGCCCCCCATGCGTACGACGCTAACTCCACTGGTCAGCAATACATGTATATCTACCCGTCTCCTCCCACAGGTCACTCGTCCCCGCCCTCTCAAGTGATGTACATGGTTAGCCCCTCCTACCCTTCTACTCAAGCCTATCAGCAGACAGGGGTCCTAGTACCACCCAACTGCCCCGTTCCCGTGCAGTAGAAAGAAGAAATTAAGAGAAGGGAAGCTGCAAAGAAGAAATTGAAAGTGAAAGAAGAAGAAAAGAAAGCGTTATGAAAGGGACAAGTATAAATAGAGACAGCACTCTCCGAAAGTAGAGCTTCTCTCAAGAAAACATGAAGGTTATCAGTTCTGAAACAGATCCCAGAACAGCCAGCCCCCCAAAGCTTGAATGTTATCAACTTTGAAACAAAACCTAGAGCACCCAGTCGTCGAAAGCTTGAGTTTAATCAACGCTGAAACGGAAGTCAGAAAACAGAACCCCAGGAAAACATGAATTTAATCACCTGAGATTGAAACGAAACTGAAAATAGTCAGCCCGCGAAAGCTTGAATTTTTATCTACTTTGAAACGTGACTTAAAACAGAACCACAAGAAAACATGAATTTGATCAAGAATGAAACGAAAGTAGAAGAAACAAAAGAAAGACAAGAAAAGGAATCATGTAAAGGTGGAATGTGAATGAAGGCCAACGGTAAAGGAATTATATACACGGCACTTTGAAAAATAACACATGTGAGACAGAACCCTAACTTCTCACAGTGAGCTCTACCTAACTGTCGGAGGAGAAAGTAAAAAAAAAAAATTCATGCAAGTAGAGTGGGTGCACATTTCTCCGACCAGTCTGATATATATTATATATTCATATGATTATATGGGGAGTCCCCAAAGTTAAATTTTACGTAGGTCCCCAAACGATCTTTTACTGATCTTTTCTCTGCTACATAATATTCTTCAGCATTGTTATCCGGCAGCTGTCAAGAATGCCATAGACCATGATTTGTTAAGTCGGACAAGTGTGCTCTTCACATATCGATCCCTGCCGTCCAGCTGCTTCCATTTGTTTTTCGCTGAAATAGTAGACTTAGCAAGATTTCTGGGGGTGTTGCATGTTTTGGGGTTTATTGAATTGTGGAAGGGTTTTTTCGGGGAAAGGGGGGGGGGCGATTTCTTTGTAAGGTAGTATCTCCAGAAACTAAAATTGTTTACCCAGGTCATTAAACAACATATACGGTATCCCGATGTGTTTCAAACTGAACTTCCCAACTTGTTTAAAAGCCGATTGATTTCTTCTGCGGTGTAAAGGTAGCTCGTGGACGGGTAGCTGGTTGAGGTACGAATGTGTTCGTGGTATTGTCAGAGTGGTCGTTTGCGTCGAAAGAAGTGGTCAGGGATGAGGTGTGGGTGTACCCAGAGAAAGAAAGTTGGTGGGACACTTGTCTTATGCTGATCTGTACTTTGTCTCTTCTTCCCCCCCC